ATGTAATTACATCTCAATAACAAACACACAGAGACATAATCCCTAAAACAGATATTCAGCTTCTATTCTAGAGCATTCTTCTCTTTCTGAATAAAGAGGGAAAATTTTTAAAATGCCTTTTCCAAAGACATCAAGTAAAATCACATGAAATATGTGGAGAAATATTAAAAACAATGCTTCAGCAACTTTTCTATTAACTATGACTACACAGAAAAATCCAGATACTGAGGCCAAGACCTGCATTTGTCAAAGATACCCAGTGGTATTCTGAATTAAAAAATTTAAAAATTAACCAAAGGAGACAAAGGCATAAAAAAGACTTCCTTGCAATGCTGCTCCTTCCCTTTGAAAATTTAATGAAAGGACTAGGCCGTTGGAATGCAAGTGGAGGGTATGTCACTAAACCTAAATTGGTGGAGCTAGAAGATCCCCGTTTGTTGTAGCTATATAGTCTTCTCTTGGTAACAGGATACGCAGCTTTATTCTCCTCGGGTGAATTTGTTTTACAAAGAAATTTACAGCTGGGTTACTGATGGGCTTTCCAGGGATTAGCTACATACTCATAAGAATAAGAGGCTAACCTCACCCTCTTAAACTTCACACACTACAATTCTATAGACAGCTGACAGCTACAGCCAAAGGAGGAAAAAAAAAATCCAACATTTTGCTAATCCTTAAACCAATCATCTCATGCAACAGTGGAGAGCCCTTCCAGTCTACAACTCAATCTCCTAGGGACACAAAGTCACCTCCTGTGAACACACCATGAGTCTGTATTTGGGGCCATCCCCTCCACAAACACACAGATATCACCTAATACCCTCCACTACTTTTATTTCATACTAAGTTGCTTGAAAGCAGAGTGTTATAAATTTTGTCTATGGAGTGGAAATACACAAATCTAACCAGAAACTGGAGCCACCACAGGCCAAGACAGGAGTTCTACTCATGGAAATAAGTCATACTACAGCCAAGTAAATGAAAATAAGAAATCAAGTTTGCTTACATGAACCCTAAATTTCTTGAGTTCCCCAAATTCAAAAGCACTGCTATAGGAAATTTTTTCACATTTCCTTATACCTAACAATCAGCACAACTAGAAATCTGGTATTTTGTGGATAGAAGGACAATCTCCACTGGTCATCTGTCCATTTCTTCTTTCTTTCTCCTTCCAACTCTATTACAACGGTGCTTGTAACTCTGAGTCAACAAAGGCACTGCCCTCCATCTTTACGTTGTGTGAGGAAGCTAAGAATGTCTTGAGCCACAATTTTGCCCTCAACTCTGTCTCCATCTGTTCTTAAAGCAACTTTTTCCTCTTGGTTTGGAACTTTTAAGTTTGTTCATCAAAAGCTAAATGGCAGAGCTTTTTCACTGCTGTGTCCTTATTAAAAGGCACTCAAGCACAACAGCTTAATGGCAGGAGCAGAGCATCTGGCTGGTCTAATCTCAAATACCCACTTCCATGAAACCACTAGAAAAGGCAAAGGAGGAGGTGACCTGCTGCTCAGAGCAATCACCCCCACAAGGGCTTGGCCAACTGGACCCTAGATCTGTTACAGACACTTAGAGAAACCAGATAAACTGCAATCAGAGTTGAGACCAAAAGGTGGGTGTAAGGATGTAAGGGCTGCCACCAAGTTCTTATTCCCACAAAAGCCATGGAAGTGAATGTATTAACCCACCTACCCATGGGGACCCTGACACAGGTTAACTGTACAAGGTCATAAAAGCAGTAAGTCACATAGTCAAGTGTCCTGCCCAAGTCCCTCTGATCCTGGACCATGCTTTTTATTCAATGCAATACATGCAAACAATGTTATATGTATTACCACAAACACCATGAAGTTGGGCAACAGGTGGCTAGAAATAAACAACCATGCAATTGTTCTCTTTAAAAAATAAAATCACACCAGGCATGGTGGTGTACCCTTGTAATCTCAGCTACCAGGGAGGCTGAGGACAGAAAGATCACAAGTTAGAGACTAGCCCCAGCAAGTGTGCATGATCCTGTCTCAAAAAATAAAAAGAGGGCTGGGGATAGCTCAATGGTTGACAGTCTCTGAGTGCAATCCCCAGTACTGAAAAGAAAAACATTAACAAAAATAGTAGTTTCACCAAATATCAACTAAAAAGCTTATCATTCTTAAATATAGGTACTGTATTTAAATGGAAGGCAGGTGGAAAAGAATTAAAATTCAGTATTCTCTGTTAGTCAGGAAAAGCTAAGATTTCTATTCTGTGCAAAATGGGCAGCATTCATTTACTCAACAAGGACTTGAGGCCAAAAAAGAGTTATGACTTGTCTCTTTCCTCTGAAGAGAACCCACAGGACAAGGACAGACTGAGCTGATCTAGGAGCCCGGAGTCCTTCAGAACATTTAACTTTTTCCAGGTTTGGTGAAGAGAAATATCTTGAACCCTGCCAAGCAAGCAGTAAGCTCCTTGATTGTACCTTAAAGGGAATGAGAATGTTTCGGCTCATTTGCATTTTAAAGGGTACTCTTTCATGATCTTTCACACTTGTAATAGATGTCTAAACCGTTAAATTACTATTTCTTTTCTTAGCCTGAAAGTCGATGCAGACTGAGAGCATGGCCTCTCCCATTGTTCTTTACCCTAAGTCGGTCCCTGAACAATACTGACAGCTGCTATCAAACTAGGCTGCATTGACTCTGCGTGCAGCTGCTGCTTGTAGGAACAGACAGTCTCCTGGTACCTCCTCCCCTCTGGGGAGACAGGTTGACACACTGCATGTTCAATGAAGGGGTACAAAGGTCCACTGAATTGTCAACCCAATTTTATGCTACTTCGATTTTCCAGGATGCACACAATTCCTTTCAAGCAAAAATCAAGCATATGCCAGAGCATTAAACTTACGGTGTGAGATAATTATTGATCATTGCAAACTTTAAAAGAACCTTCTGACATAAATTAATATACTGATGTAAAAATTTCAATGACAAAAGCTACCCAGGCCAGGATACTGAAGACAAGCAAGGGGCATAAGTCTTGTGTTGGGCTCAATTCACCAATTTGGGTTATTGTTGCTCCACTATCAGACCTAATCTGCCTTTAATCTCAACAACATTTTCCCTGGACCAAAGCCATTCGTAAAATTAGCGATTCATCTGCTCTTCTAAAACGACCTGTTTTTACTCTCTGCTTCAGCTCAAAATGGGTATTACGTATAAACATCTGGTTAATGCAATTTCCTCCCTTCTAAAGTGTAGGTCCAAAGGAGATTCACAGGTCCTGGGCAGTGCTTTTGAGAATTTAAATGTAAGCATTTTACCATTGAAAAATTACATGTGAAAATTTAGAGCTGCTCAGAAAACAAACATGTTCCACAAAGTTGAACTGGGTACTTGAGAACTGCTTTGCATATGTTTTCCTTTAATCAAAACAGGCTTTTCCATCCTCATTCATTTGGGTTAAAAAAAAATTCTGTGCTCCAGCTACAAGTACAATTCGCTATTAGTCTTTGCTAATCAAACACAGTACATGCAAAAGTACCAGTGAATATTTGATTTGATCTCTAAAATAAAGCAATTCATTACACAAGAAAAGGGTACAGAAGGCAGCAGACAAATGCAGATGTAATTGTGTTTTTTGTTGAATGTGATTAGAGAGCCCACTAAGTAACAGTCAAAAATGTGATACTGAAGGGGAAGAAAGGCAGAGCCTAGATCTGGGGGAAGAGGAGGGAGAATTGTTTATGCAGAGCTAAGCTGTCAAGTGTAATAAAGCAGCTTGAATAAAATTTAAGCTGAAAATCCACTGAAGCTCCCCATTTCAGGGAGGAAAAAGCTATTAAAAGGAAATGAAGGTCACCCTCCCAGTTTATTTCACCTAATTGACTGCCAATAGCTTACCACAGGCAACCCAACTGCAGATCTGCAATTGAGAAACTGATGAAAGCAGAGTTTTCAAGCTGAGGCTCATTCTTTAATCCTCCTTGGCTCTTATGTTTTTTCTCCATCTCCAGTTGGGATGTAATTTTAAGCCCTGGTGGATTAACTGGTTCCATTGTTTGTGGCCGTCATTGGACTATGGCACTCTTAATCCGTACAGCAGCATGTCTAATTATCATTACAAAGTGTCTGAGGGAACTATAAAGACCAGCAGGGCATCTTCTCACAAGCAATTAACATAAATTGATAAATGAGTGATTTGAATCTGCTCAAGGCATTCACATATGAATAAAATCAGAAAGAACCCTCCCCTGTTTCAGCAACTTCTTTCCCCTGGTCTGGAAGTGGGACAGCACATGAGAACCATCCTGGGTCCTGTGGTGGGCAGAGGGATGAACTCATGCAGGGGATGGAAGACACAGTTCAACAGGTTCCTTAATGCGGAGCAAATGACTTGTGATTGACAACCAGTCGGCAAGAAGCACTAGCTGAACTCAACAGAGAGCAGGAAACCACTGAAAGGCTAGAGAGCAGTAGGGCAGACAATTAACACTTCTTCCATGGCGAGAGAGCGCTCTTTCATTGGTGCGCCACTTAAAAATTCATGAAAGAGACACAAGAAAGCAAAGGAGCAAACAGTTACACAGGTTAGAATACCCTAGAAAGGAAAAGGCAAAGACAAAGAGAACTCCGTGAAATGGTAATTCAGAGACCTGGCCTGACCCTCACTGTGGTCCAAAGCTGTAAGACAGAAGATAGGAAAGTATTTAAAACTCTTGACTTACAGCTTTTACTCAGCTAATGGAGCAAGGGTGGTTTAAGTGTCATAAGAATGAACTACACTTATTTTCCCATGGAAAAGCAGATTTCCCCATTCCAAAACATCTCTCCTATCAGCTTCCCTATGCTAAGCCCTCTTCCCCTGTGCATCTCAGCATACTCCACATCCCCTGCTACCTCCCTTATCAAACAATTCAACATTACGCTACACACAATTATACATATACACATATTAAGACATCAAACTATTAAGAAATGAAAGCTGGTTATACACACTGTAGGAGGTAGACCTGGTAGGCCACGTACCCCGATGATGGCATTCAACTCTGCCATGGTCACCTGTTTGGCACGTTCGACAGCCTGGGCCACCTGTTGTTGATGCTTTGAAAACAGGGAGAAGAAAACATGTTAGCCATAGCCAAGAACGTCCCTTTACATTCTAATAACAAAAACACAAATGCTGCGTGCTGTGTAAGCTGAATGAAGTTTAAGGGTTTAAACAGGGCACTTCTCCAGCACACAGTATTCCAAAAACATAGGAGCAGGAAACTAAGAATGGTGCTTCCTTCTACTTCTCTCACCACTCCAGAACTTGGGACTAGTCAGGGGCACTCTATCACTGACCTACATCCACAGCCCTTTTATTTTGAAGACAGGGTTTTACCATATTGTCCAGGTTGGCATCAAACTCGCTATCCTCCTGCCTCAGCCACCCCAGTAGCTGGGATTACAGGCAGGTACCAACACACCTAGCTTTCCCTGAATTTCTAACTTAACTTCTGATGGTAATTTTTGGCTTAGAATGGCAGAAAGCCAAATAGGACATGAAGAATGGCAACTTAAGGCCTTAGACAACAGAGAGAATGGAATTTAGAAGGCCACCCTGGATCACAGAACAGGTTTACAGTGATGAAAATAGGCAGATGAACTTTACAGCAATTTTAAAACAACTGTTTCAATACTTGAAATTTAAACATCAAATCTGTGAGCACTTCTCTGATTAATAAATCTTGACCCATCAGCAGATTTTGGAAACTCTAGGAATTCCTTTTGTTCTTTTAGCCTTTTTTTACCCTTCCCAGGGGAAACAGAAAGACCCACCCTCAATTTCAGAGGATGGAAATTCACCCTGCACACTTCCCAACTACACCCCCCCCCCGCCCCCCAAAAAAGCCACAGGTTTGTTTGGGAGGCAAGAGACTAGTATGTAGGCCAAGATCCCTTAAGTCTAAACAAGTAGATTCACAAGGCCTACAAATCAGCCTGGAACAGCAGGTGTCCACTAGATCTAACCCCTGAATTCTGACTCCTAGTCCAATAAGCACTTCACTGCCTCAAGATACATTCATCCTGCACACACTGCAAACGCATTATGGCGTTTATAAGGCGGTATCCAAAAGGAAGGTAAATCTTTTCAAAGCAAAACTAAAATACAGTCAACTTCACAGGTTATTCATATAAAGAGATTTCCCTCTCAAAAGAGTAAGGTTAAACCTCAAGAACATTGTATCTGAATAAAATGGCTTGGCTTATCTACATATGTGACTCATTAAGTGGATAGAATGTAAAAAGTAATTTTACTCTTTCGACTATTCTCATCCACTTCCTCCATGGACAGCATTCAGTCAACCAATCTGATATATAGGCACAAAAAACGGATCTACTTCCTTGGTACTCTCTATTTAAACAATAAAAAGGACACCAGAATCATCAGTAGCTATCAAGCTTATACTACTCAAAACAAAAGCTTTATGTTGATAAGGCATTTTGCAGTTTTCCACAGAAAAAAATTAATTTGGGGTTGAACTATTGTCACCAATTCTACAGTGTGCCCTCAGACGTGTTAGACAGAATAGCAGGGGGTTTACACACTTCAGCTGTAACAGATGTTTTTTCAGGCTTGTTCCTTGTGATAAAATTAACATCTTAAAACTAGCTAATTTGCAAACAGAGAAGCAACATAATTGCACTTTAACAGCTGAACAGTTTTACTTACTTCCTGAGACAGAAATGGGATGACTTGTGCACAAATCGTATTCAATCTCTTGGCGATTTCAGTCTATAAAGACAAAGCCATACAAATATTTAGAATACTTCACAATCAAAAAGTTTCAAAAAGGTGCAACTTCATACCTTCAACACTTGCTTCCTCCTCTATTCTTACACTTGAAAACTTAAGACTGTTTCCCTAGGTTATGTTACCAATATTTATCTTTAGATAACAAATAAGTATCAGTCCCTCCTTACAAAAGTGCAACTGCACACCTTACTGGCTACTTAGTGTAGTTGAATTGAGTTAGAAAATGCATGTGGTTTAAGGCTCTCAGGTTTAAATCTGGAGACTGCAAGCCCCATAATAGACTTTTCAATGATGGCATACCATAGCACATTTATATATAGTTATAGCAGGTTCATTCAAACTGGTGTTGGAAATCTTATCAAACAAAGGGGCCCACTGACCTCCCACCCACGATGTCCCAACTTTAGCACAATGAAAAGAGAATTTTAATGCTAGTATCCTTCACTTTTTTTAAAATTCAAACAAACCAAGAAAACATCACTAAAAACAACTCAGGTCTAGAGTGATTGTCAAGGAATACAGGAGAGTGTTGCCAAAAGGAAAAGGCCAATGGTTCAAGAGAACATAAGAGCATGTGTGCTGAGTGTCTGCCAGGAAAAGTACCTACTCAGCTACACACCCACAGCAGTCCCTCTGCTTACAGGGACAAACCAGTGAGGGAGGGAATGGAGGCTTCCAACCTGGGGAAGGATCTGGTTGCACCACCTCCAGTACCCTACAGCAATGCAAAGCAGCTCTGCTTTCCTCTAACTCTGAAGAACCAGTTCTGCTTTGCCAAAAAAAAAAGCATCTGTAAAGAGACCTACCATTGACCTTATCTGTTGCAACATTTTCTGTCTGTGCTTACTAAATGCCGCCTCTATTACTGAATTAGAACAATGAAGAGGATCAAGAGAAGAAAATTACAAAGCAAACAGGCCATGCCCTTGAGAAACAGAGAATAGAATTAAGTAAGATAAGGTAGAAACCCGAGAATTTTAAAATCAAGTATATAAAAAAGAGACCCTTTTTGTCCTCTAAGATGAATCCAGTTAACTGAGCAGCAAAGTCTTTGGTTTTATGGGATGGATTTAGCCCAAATAACCCAGTTCTCACAGATCACCAACGAGAAAAGGTTATAGATCCTGCAATGGAAGAAAAGTACTTTAAGGGAAAATGGCTGGTATAGAAAGCAAACCTATGACCTTGCTTTAGCCAGTGGGGCAAACAGATATATGCAAAAGTGGTGCAGCTGTACCAGGTGCAAAAACAGAACTGGGTCAGCCCCACCCAGTTCATTTGACCACAGCCACCCACTCAAGTTAACTCAAGGTCATGGCTCTCCTCGAAAGCACGGCAGGCTTCCCTTTCCTTTAGAACAAGGTTATGCAAAACACACACACACACACACACACACACGTGCATATAGGAGTAGGGATGTTCTTTGTGGACTCCTAGGTTAAGTCTCCATACCCACCTACCACAGATTCCAACACATACATTCTATACTTTCCCCTTCTCAAAAATCCACTTAACATTTTCCAATTTTAAAATTAACAGATGCATTGGAAATGGTGACACATGTCTGTAATCTCAGCTACTGAGAAGGCTAAAGCAAGAGAATGTAATTTAGAGGGCAGTCTCAGTAAAATAGCAAGACTCAATATAACTTAGGACAGGGGATGTAGCTCAGAGGTACAATATTCCGGGGTTCAACCCAAAGTGCCTTTAAAAAAAAAAAAAAGATATATGCTTGGGCTAAGGAGTGTGGCTCAGTGGTAGAACACTTGCCCAGTATGCATGAGGCACCAGGTTTGGTGATGTTTTGTTTTTTAAGATATATACTCCCTTTGAACACACACCACATGCACACAGATGTATATGAACAGAGAAAGAAAAGAAAGTTAAAATAACCCTAAGTCCATCATTCAGAAATATCCATAAGTAACATTTTGGTGATCCTGGGACACCATCTTTTCAGGCTCTCACTTTACACGCAGAAGCCCCTTGTGAGAATATACTTTTAAGACCAAGGGGTCCCACTATACACACTGGCTTTCTATAATTTGTTGTCCACTCAAAAAATGGGTCACAGACCCCCTCCCAGTCAATACACACAGGTATGAATGACTACATCATGAACATATTCTACCATATAAGCATACCAAGATTTAAGCATTCCTGACACCAGTGGGTATTTATCTTCATTTATTTTCCACAATTACAAGACTCAATGTCAAATAACCCTCCACAAGATCTCTAAAAGGAGTTTCTGAAAGTGAAAATCTGAGTCAAAGTGTGTACATATTTTAAAATCATAATGCATGTTGCCAAACTGCCCTTCAGGAAGCTGCACCAATGCACATTACTGCCCGTCTACAAAGGTGCTTGCTCTCCCAGTGTCAATATTGGATTTTCTTGACCCTTTTTTTTTTTTAATCTTTATCCATCTAACAGATTAAAAAATGACCCCATTTTTATTTGAATTACTTGGATTTTTCCTGAAGTTAAACATCTTTTCATATATTTACTGGCCCATTGTATCGTTCCTTTCTCATTTTTTTGCTGGTGTTTAATCATCATTTATCTTTTTGTAGTTCTTTACATAAAACAAATATTAACCCCTCATCACAGTTTGTCCAGCTTGCGACTTGTCTTTCAACCTTGCCTAGTAAGTTGTTATATGGCCAAACCGAAGAAATTTCTTCCTATGCTTCTAGCCTTTGGGTAAGGATTGGAACATACCAAAATTAGACAAGCCATCCTTATTTGTCTTCTAGTGCTGCTACGGCTATGCTTTTTATACTCAATTACCTGATCTTCTGGATTTTATTTTGATTTAGGAAGAAAAAAAATTCCTTCATTTCTAATTAAATAGTAACTATGTGTTATGTAATAGAACAGGTTGAAAATAGAATTGAACATCATTATAGGGCAGTTAAGACCCATTCTGAGTGGGATGAATGCATACTGTAAATCTTTAGCAAGATTAAAGTGATCAAAAAGTAAACAAGGTCAGGCACCACCCCAGCTACTAGGGAGGCTGGGGCAGGAGAACTGGTATATTCAAGCAACTAAGTGAAATCCTGTCTCAAAATAAAAAATAAAAATAAAAAGACCTGGGAATGTATCTTAATGTAAAGCATCCTTAGATTCAATCTCCAGTACCAATAAATAAATAAATAAATGACAAAAGAAGTTGATTAAAGCAAAGATGATATAAACTGGGTTGGACTAGGTAAGACTGAAATGGGAAGAAGAAAGTTACAGATCAAAGCTCAAACTGATGTAGAATCATCAAAAGCTGTGCCATATGTCCTGAAAGTTCTAAATAAATAGTATGGAAAAGACATGAAAATAAAAGCCACAGGGGAGGATCTTATCCAAGCCATAGTCTCTCTCTGTAAACCCTAATGTTAAAACTATACTGACCAGTGAAATTGATTTTTTGAGCCAGATGACCTAAATTCAAGTTTTGCTTCCACTTCAAGCTGGTTTACCCTGCACAGGGAACAGTCTACCTCCTGGTCCTGTGAGGACGCAGCAAGCACTTGACAATGCTCTGAGAGTTCCAAAAGCACCATCATCCCTCCCTAGGGGGAATTCTCATACGTTTCCCCATTCTGTCCAACAGTCTGGATGGCAGCAGCACAAAACCTGACAGAAATTCTTGGTATTACCTTCACTTCAACCCAAGATCACTCTGATAAAATTGTTAATTTAGCACCAACTAGCAAGTAGCAATGTTTCCCACCCTACTGCAGGTCACAGAGTCTGCAGATAGGATTCCCTGGATATTGGACCCTGCTTAAACCAACACTGAGAGAGTTCTATGACCTTTCCACACATTGCCTTTCACTTCTTCCAAAGATTAGAAACTCACAGGAAAAAACTGCAGACTGATGGAGCATGCTGGCACATGCCTGTAATTCTAGTTTGAGGCCAGCCTCAGCCACTTAGTGAGAAACTATCCCAAAATAAAAAAAAAAAAATTAAAAGGGCCGGGAATGTAGCTCAGTGATAAAGCACCCCTGAGTTTTAATTCCTAGTATAAAAAAAGAAGAAGAAGAAGAAGGAGGAGGAGGAGGAGGAGGAGGAGGAGGAGGAGGAGGAGGAGGAAGAAGAAGAAGAAGAAGAAAAGAAGCAGCAGCAGCAGCAGCAGCAGCAGTAGCAACTGTGGGCAAATAGTATTTTCCACCCAGAAATTATTTTCCTGCTCAAAGCTGAATGTATTTGGTACCTGCTAGATCACAATGTTTATAAGTAAACTTTTCCTAAACTTGCATTTCTGATACTACATAAGATGTACATAAACTTGCATTTCTGATACTACAACAACAAAAAATCAGCACTCATGAGTTATCCCCAAACCAAATGTGCAAGGAATCCTCCCACTTAGAAATGTAAGGAGCTGGGTAAATGCCCCATCATCAAGCTTCACTTCAAAGACACTCTGCCTGATCAGTGGGCAGCAGAAAGCAGGGGTTCAAATCACCTATCTAGGACAATCATTTATGCTCTTTGCCCATGCCAATTCCTCTGGCTGATATGCATACGATAGAGTTAGCCCTCATGATCCAAAAATTGAAGTCTATCCCAGCAAAGGAGAGCTAGGTGTCCCAAGCCTTCTATGATAGTAATAGGAACATCTCTAACCTACTTCAGAGGTTCATCAAAATCAAGTGAGCTAATATAAGTTACAGGTCTACTATTCCAAAGAGCTATACAAATCTCAGAGTTTCCCAATCCTTCAAGGCCTCCCCTGTGCCACCAATAAACACACTCTTCTCTACCCTCTTCAAGATCCTCCATAGCACTTACTCTCATTTGATAAACTAAAGCTACATGCTGCCACCACCACCTTACATAAAGCTCCCTCAGTCTCCTCAGAGCTTCCTGCAACCAGTGTTCTCAACACAATATGGGAAGCTAACAACAAGACCCCCACTAAATACTCTATTTCTTCCCCAGACCTTGCTCACCAAAACTGACCATGGGTA